AAAGCACTATTGATAATTTATTATCTTTAAGTTAATATTATTTTAAGTTTGTAGTAAATATTGTTATTATTATTTTAAAAGTCAATTTTAATAATACATACTGCAAATTAGACATCATAAAAACTACCAGTCAGTTGTATTGATAAAAAGTTAACTCGTCTTTTTACAGCGATCTTTTTTTTTTAAACATTTTTACAGCAATCTCACCACATAAATCTGTAATTTCTACCGTATACTTTTTACTACAAAATATATTTAATTACAATCCTTACTGCAACTCAATTTTGATACCATATGTTATCAATCTATACATTTCATTGAAAAATCTTTTTCATCACATCGTATAAAGAGTTAAGAGTCTCATTTTCTTCTACTTGAGTTGAGACGAATTAATGATGTCACAATCTCTCTTTTTATGTCACTATTAAAAATTATAAACGCAAACTTATAAAAATGAGCTATTTATAAGAGATTTAATAAATGATCTATGATTGCCCCCTTAAAAAAGTAGTGAACAATATATGGAAGCCATGGTCGTTGTGAAGCCTATAGGAGACGGGTGATTTGACACACCATCTACAAAATTATGCTATTTATTAAATGTTTACGTTATTATGTATTCATTTAAGAGGCAATTACAAAAATGTCATTTTTGTGTGCACATTTGCAAGAATGCCACTTAGGGGTGTCTATTTGCAAAAATGCCACTACTTTATAAAGTCTATATCTTAAAATTCTAAACCCTAAAAAATGTTTTTGACTCCTAAAACCCCATAAACCCTCATAAATAAACCCTTATAGAACATAATTAAACCAAACATAAATGATATAAAGAAAAAATAATTTTGAAAAAATGGCATTTTTGTAAAAATTTTAAAAATGTGGTATTTTTGTAAAGTGACACTTGAAAAGTGGCAATTTTTTAAAACTTCTCTTCATTTAAATCCTATTACCTAGTTTTATAAATCAGACAGGCGATTATTTAATGTCGAAAGACTAGTTCGAATTCAACCTAAATTGGTCGCTTATGTTAAAACTAAAGATCTTCGGGAAACATTTAGAAGAATAAGATTTTGTTAGATAGTTTACGTGTTAGATTCAAATCAGATTGATATAAAATAGTAGATACGCTTCCCGAATTTGATATACGATATAGAAACCGATGATCATTTCGATTTCGAATGGTTACAACATATCAAATAGTGTAGAATAAATGTGGTAAATTACACAAACTGTATTTGTGAGTGTGTGTATATATGAACTTATAAAGTAGTTGAGAGAATTCATATATAGGTGGTAGAAGAATAACAAGAGGCAATGCGTTTGAGCTGGCTTTTTTCTGTTGATAGGAATTGTGGCTGAGGGGCCTTGCCAGCTTCAAAAGACAATAACAAGTAATATTATCAGTTAGTGGTTCACTTCTACTTTCTAACCAATAACCATATCTTATTAATTTATTACAAATATCTCTTCTCTAACCAACTAAAAAAAATACATATACATTTTAAACTATATCTGTTTTTTTTTTTTTTGCATAAATTTTGTTACCTTTGTTACTTAGATCATGCGCTCTTCATGCATGCCGTACTTTTAGTCATAGTGGTAAAACATGACTTTTTAGTTCAAGAATTTGAGATATAGACGTATACTTCCAACTACATTATTCGTATTTTACATCTCAAATTCTATTACTGTTTTATAGTTAGTATGAAGGAAAAAGTTATAATTTTGTTACACATATTTTGGTCGAACGTTGTGATGGAGTTTTAAACTAGATACACACATTTTAGAATTAGTCGCTAAAGAATTTACGTGACTACTATAAAAATAAAGTAATTGACGTAGCTAGCTCAAAGTTAAGACTTGGTTTATCTAATTACTAATTCTGTCTGTTAAAAATTCTCCAAATATTTTGGTGATGAGGATAAAGTGGAGACATGCGTTACGAGTGCACGGCCTTTCCCTATCTGTTTTTTTTGGCAAATATACTAAAGTTTATCCTCTAACGCCCTCATGTGAAACGCTTTAATTTGGGGTCGGTGGGACGTAGACAACTAGACATATGATAATCTCATTTATTCATCTACGTACTTATGTATGTTTTTTTGTGCTAAATTGTAAAAACGTACTTATGTATGTGACTCTTTGTATTGGGGTGTATATTCCAGATCAATGGACTCTTAGAAAAAA